TTCGAATAGCAAAGCTGAACAGAGGGCATAGTTCACGCACCGACAAATCCTTTCTTTTCTTTGCTGTTTATCTATTTCTTAATATTCCTTGAGTGTTTTGCCTATGTTTCTTCTATGCAGGAGTTTGCCAGTCCTAAAAATCTTTACTAATCTCTTTTGGGTTTGGTTCATGCCCTATTTGGTGTATCAGTGAGGTATGAACCAAAATGTCAGCCTCAAAAATCAGTTTTGCACGTCTACCTTCCTTTTAATTATTACGTGGCTTCCACTGATTTCGATTACAGGCAGTCCCCAGTTTAAGAACAAGTTCTGTTCCCAGAGTTTGTCCTTAAGTCAGATTTGTAGGTAAGGCAGAACAGGATGATTATATAATACTGTATAAGTACCATTGTGCAATGAACTCGAACCATTGTGCATTTAACTCGAATCATTGTGTATTTAACTCGAGTTTTGCTACAACAGGCTCCGTTCATAACTATGAGTTGTCTGTAATCTGGGCATTCTTAACCCGGGGACTACCTCTATCTCTTTGATCAATGGCTGTTAAGCTGATACATAAATAAAATAAGTAGAGTCATTGTGTTATATCTAATGTGGATCAAATGCAGTAGAGTCCTCGTCAGCATGACCATGTCCACCAATGCTTTCCTTAGTGCTAAATAGGCTCCCTGCCTTACTAACTTTATTTTATTTTATTTTTCTTAAGGGAAGGGCTTGCTGCAAAGCAAAGTGCCAACATCCAACCCCATGTTTATTTCCAAGAAAGTCTCTGGGAGGCAGCTAAGCATTGTCAGAAAACAAAATGGTGAAATGGCTATAACCGAAGCGTTCCCACCTAGCCATCAGAGGATAAAGTAGATTGGGGTTAGGGGTATGCAAGTTTGTCTAACAACACTGTTGTGCCACGGAGGTGACACCTTGTGTCTTATCAAGGTACAGAGGCAACAGAGTTTGCTCCGCTGAGATGCTTTGCATCCTCTTGAATCTCTCCTCCAGCAGTTCCATTAGCCAAAAGAGATTGCTCAGAGATCTCTTCCACAGTTTCTGGAAACCGACTGAACTTGGAAAGTCTCCTGCTGCTAGAACTGTCAGAGAGAGCCCCAAACAAAGGAATGTGAAGCATCGCAGCTGCTTGGCTTTGCTTTTAGAAGTTAGAAGCAAGGTTGATGGGTTGCTTTGTTCCTGAAGCAGTTTCCAGGAGGTGCTTCACCTGAACTTCCCTTGAAGCAAAGCCCATCAGCTGAATCTTGAATTAGAAGATTCACAGTCAGAGATTCATGGACACCGTTCTGATAAGATACTTTTATTGCAAATACTCATAGCCCTTAATAAAGAAGAAAACCGGCTCTTGCAAACCCCAGGGTTCAAGCAGTCCCCAGGTTGAAAGTCCACTTTTTATCCACCCTTACGTCATAATGTTCTGTAAGTGGCTCTGTTCTCAAAGGGAGACACGCTGGATGCCTGTGGATCGTTGTTGTAACCGACCTGCCTGGTCTCAGCCCCTTTGCTTCTGACTTGGCCAGTTCTTGCCTTCACACACCTCTTCAAAGCATTGCATAGCCCAAGTCATGGGATCCTTAGATACTAGAAGAGAGGTGGGGAGCAACCTCACCAGTTTTCTTTCTGATAAATGACTATTACTTGACTAGTTGGGTCAACCACACTACTGTTTCCCAAGAAATAATAATTCTTCTTCTTCTTCTTCTTCTTCTTCTTCTTCTTCTTCTTCTTCTTCTTCTTCTTCTTCTTCTTCTTCTTCATCATCATCATCATCATCATCACCACCATCAATTAATCACCTTCTGAGATCACCTGTTACTTGCTCTAAAGCTCTAAATATGGCTACCAGAACACTTTGTCTCACCAATCAATTACAAATCACTCACAGATCTGCCAAAAAATTCAGCTCTCCCATCAGTCCACCAACCAGTTTAAATGATCGTCAGGATCAGAAAGTGTTTCTAACACTCTGCATTTTTTAATCAATGGAGAACACAAAGATCTCTCTCTGACTAATCCAACCTCCAAGCTATTACTGAGACAACCCATCATCGTTCTCCATTTCTAACAGCTTCCCCAGCTTTGTTTTGAAAGAACCAAGCCGGGGAGCTCAACAACATTTCCCTGAGGAGACCTACCTATTGCTTAGAAAAGGCTGGTTAATAGTCTTCTGACGTTATAATTAGATTTTGGGTTTATAAATAATGCAAACGCTTTTCTATTCCTCTGGGCTTCTAAATATCTAAGATGATCTCCAAGGGATATTTGGCAGATGGATTTCCCATAGATTAAAGCCTAATTTTTACATACGGCAGATGAGGTAGTAATTAAGGCTGTATCATAGAGATGGGAACCCCAAAATCCCTTCTCTGCAAACCTTCAACTCTCTTCAACAGCGTCATCATTGCCAACGATATGAAAATGATAGTGTAAGCTCTAAATCCAGCACCAATGTTTTCTTTAAAACAAAACTAATAATAATAATAATAATAATAATAATAATAATAATAATAATAATAATAATAATAATAATAATGCTTGCATTGATAAAACCATGGGACAGGGGGTTAGGATCCTCATAAAAATGTGAGAAGAGGTGGGTCAGCATAAGAAGAACTGTCAGTTTGGGCCAAAGACCAACTTAATCCCACCTCCAGAGCTGCACCACAGCCAATCAGCTGCCTTCCAGGAGCAGGCAAGCAGAGCTTGAATGCAATTGCCCTCTCCTGCCCCCTCCTGTTAGACTTATAGAATAACAATGCACTCTGGTAGATACTGTTTCTGGATCAATACTGTCACCTAGTGGAAATGACTTGTACTATTCTTTTTTTTTTTAAGCATATTTCATCTCACAAGCATTAATGCTTATCATTCAAATTGATATTATAATTAAAAGACAGTCATAATAGTTCTTAAGGCGTTTTACCCCGGATTTGCATCGTCCCAACAGGTACCAGTAAGTCACAATCATCATCGTCATCATCTGACTCTTATGATGAATCCAGGCAATTAATTTTGCCATTTATTCATCCATTCATTAACATGGGGGTTGTACCAGAGATATCATTAGTGCCTTCCACAAACTATCTTTCTTTCCTCTCCTCCCACATCAAACTAAACTATGCTGTAAACATGCAAAATCATTTTTCCCAAAAATCTGTTGTGGCTGTAAACTAACTTAAAGATGGAATATAAATGATACATACATTTTAAATAAAATAAATTTGATTTTGCTTCAAAATTCTGGAGAGGAAAAATTCATTTGTACTGAATGCAGTGAGCTTGCTCCCAAAATTGCATTTTCCTTTACCCAGAAAATTTAGAATACTTCCACAAGTAATAATTAAATCCATTTTTGCATTTCCCATTCCTGTTAAACAAAAGAAAAGTGATATTTATTAAAACCCATATATGGTATCAGAAGATGAGCTCTCTAGTGCAGAATTCCCTGGCTGGGGAATTCTGGGAGTTGAAGTCCACCCATCTTAAAGTTGCCATGGTTGAAAAACACTGCTCTATTGATTCATTCCAGGTTAAATGCCTTTTAAGGCTGTAATCCAAAAGATGTACTTCATCTTAAATCTCATGCTATATAGTGGATCTTAATTTTAGAGAGACACAGACAGTCTTACAAGAGCTATAAGTCTGCAAACCTATATACAGTACAATAATCTAGAATTCAATGGGTCAGATTTATGAAAGGGAAAATATAGCTTTGGGCCAAACTTCCTTTATGAAATAGACCTCTGTTTTATTTATTTAGGATAGGAGTAGAAAATCCTCCACACCCTCTTTCTGCAACTCTCAAAGCCTGTGATGGATTTTCTAACAGATCCTGGGAACATGGATGGAGGAGGGAGCACAATCATTACAGGAAGGAGTTGGACTGTTACGCAAAAGATGACTTAGACTTGGGGAGGGGGGAACTGGAGAAAGAGACTCCTCTTAATTACGCTAGGTATAAGTTGAACTGGAGAATTGCTTTGACAGGCTTTCAAGTTTCTGTAGAGGAACACAGAGATGGTCCTGGAGAAGATATGCAAAGCCGTTTGCAAAACATGAGTTCAGTCCAGGAAAACAAGGCAGCATGAGAAAGAAACTCAAGATTGTCCTGCCTTGACTCTCTTTGGTATAAGAGGGAGGGAAGAGGCTTTCAAGATTCAGTTATCATAGCTTATTTCAATAAAGCATCATCCTAGTCTTTCTTGTGGTGTGTTTCCCAACCTGGCCTACCTCCAAGGGCTGACAGCCACATTACCATACTAGCAATTAAAGACCTTTCCAGAAACCCAAGTCATTCTTGTTCCTGAGTTTGCCAGAATGGGGGCGGGGGGGGGGGGGTTGTTAGGGGCTTTTTTTATGGCAATTTTGTGAAGGA